CCCCTCCGCTGCTCCCCGGTCCCCTGCTCCCAGGTCTCCGACTCTCGGGTCTCCTCCTCCCGTGGTGGTGCCTATTTCTGACCAGTTGGCGGCCATCGCTCAGCAGAACGAGCGCATCCTGGCCGGCCAGGAGCGCATTCACACCCGCCTCAATCGTGAGCGGGACCGAGGGCGTCGTCTTATGTCAGGCCAACACTACATCATGCCCTACCTGGCTTGGACCCGAACGCAGTCCACTACCCTTTCGTGCAGTCCCCAGGGTATGAGGATGAGTACCCTCCACCCACCGGCGATGGGGGTGATGCATTCTAGTGGCGAGTGGTTGGTTCTATGCCTCATTTGTGTTCTAGACTGAGACTCCATGTTTTTTTTGTTGTTTCGTTTTGTTTTGTTTTTTTTTTTATCTTGGATTGTAGACTTGGAACTCCGGTTCTTTCACCCAGTGTGTGTCTTTTGTTGTCTTTAGCTCTGTGCCTTGGATTGGTACCCCTTCTCTGGACTGGTCTGCCTTCCAGTCCCCGTTCCTGTTCTCCTGTCATGGTAACATCGTTCCCCTTCCCTCTGCTCCATTGAGGACATTGCCTCATTTAGGTGTGTGTGTGTGGGGGGGGGGGGGGTTCTTTGTATGAATTGGAACGTATATATGTGTGCTTGGAGCCTAGTCCGCTGTCCAAATCTCGAGATTTGAGGGCTCCAAACACTGCTGTTTGCATGATGTTTGATCGTATTGGCACTGTGGATGTGATTAGTGAATTGAATGGCTTTTGACTTGATGCATGACAACTTGAGTGTGACTAAGACAACTTATTATGATGACTGAGATGAGCAGTAGAACTGTGTAGGGGTTCAGTTTTTCAACTGTTTTCTTACCAACTGTGACTTGGATTGATCACTTGCTTTTGACAGTCATTTATGCATCTAGTTCAGGGAATCAGAATGAGAGATAGAGAATATAGGTAGCCATGTGAGACTTGAGCCTGCTCGTTTCTTTCTTGTGTGATAGTTCCCTCTTCCATGATGTGCAGCATTGACGTTGTCATTAGCTAAGATGATGGAGGCATAGGATTAGCCCACGACCAAATTGACTGTCCTGGTGTGTCATGCCCCCTAGCCAGCCCCTTTGAGCCGTGTGTTACCCTTTCTTTCGGTCAATATGAAAAATCACCCTTTTGCATCTCTTAGAAGGTTCCACAAAGTGGTTTTTACATGTTCTCTGCTGTTTCTGCTAAATATAATGTGAGGGTTGGAGGTAGTTCTTAAAAAGTTGGGCAGGTGTTTGAAAAATGTGCAGAGGTGGTGGTTCTCTTAAGAAATGAAAAAAAAAACGAATGAAAGAAAAACAAAGAAAAAAATGAAAGCAAAAGAGAGCCACCACCAAAAATCTTAATAGTGCCCATTAAGTAGTGTTTCTTAGCAGTCTGGCTTAGAAATACTAGCATTTATGTGACCTCCTTCGCTCTTGTGCTCTGAAGAATTTGAGTAATGCAGAATAGCAGAAAGAAATTTATTGGTTTGATTGACTGTGAGTTTGTTGGGTTTGGAAATGTGGAACCTTGTGCTGTATGAATACTTCCACCACCTAAAAGGCCTTTTCCCCATGTCCAAGACCCTAGCCAGTCATCTGAACATGTGTCTAAGACCTCCGGATTAGTTAGTGGTGACACCCCATATGTGAACTCTAGCACTTAGAGGCTGCATTCATGGTGAAGAGACGTTAGGGATTGAGAGAATAAGCATGCGCATTTTTCGCATCAAATTGTCCTGACCCCACTGGTCGAGAGTGAGCGATTCATTTTCTCATATTCTCTATACTCTTTATCCCGGTGAGGACCTAGATTGCTCGGTCTTAATTCTGATATCTTGAGCTTTGTGCATGAAGTGACTGTCTCGAATATGTGGTTGAGTCAAGTCTATGTTGGTTGGTGAACAGAAGGGAGACTCTTCCTTTTCTCGATTTTACTGCATTCGAATGTCATCTGTGGTGGTTGTCTAGGTTGTCATTGAGGTTGTCCATGTGTTAATGATCGAAAGCCAGTATGATCCACGTGTTTTGTGCCAATATGATATGCCCTAAAGCCTGCTTGATTGAAACGTTTTGAGCTTACCTGGTGTCTGACTTGGTTTGCTTGGGGACAAAGCAAACGGTTAAGTGTGGGGGAATTTGATAACGATGGAATTGCACATATTTGCACCCCTAGTTCTTATCCGTTTGTGGGGCATAGTCGTGTATTTTTGGCCTATTTTACGTCGGGTTGTGCTACTTTGTCATATTTCCGGTCCCAGACGTCGAAGGAAAGGCTAAGCACGAGTTTCGGGGCATTCGGAAGTCATTCGATCGAGCTGGAGCCAAAACACGGGCACGCCTAAATCAAAGCACGGCCGTGTTCCTGGACCGTGTTTTTACTGCTGAGGCTTAATCCAAGACTGTCAAACACTAGCTCAAAACACGGGCGGGATTGACCAAAAGCACGGCCGTGTCCATAAAAAAGCACGCCCGTGTTTTCCCCAAAGTCTGGCAGTGTATTTACCACGTGGCAAGGGCACGGGCGGGCTGGAGCAAAACACGGCCGTGCCCTCGAGCGTGTTTTGCCCAGTGATGCCCTTTAAGGCAGATTTCAGCCAAAAGAGAAGGGGATTCGAGTTTTAGAGAGACAGAGCAATTCCTAGAGAGAGAAAGCGACGAACAAGAGTTCCCAAGTGCCCTAGCTTGATCTTCATCACCATTGGAGCCTGGCTTGAGCTTGGAGGAGTGCCGATCGACGACCAGGAGCTGAAACCCATCCTTCACAGTATGTTTTCCGCATCTGAATATGCTTTTTCTTCTTTCTCCATGGAGTAGTTCTCCCATTCATCTGGGTATGGGAAACCCTAGATTTGTATGTTAGGTTTGATTGTATGAACCCAAGTATAGATTCTATGTTTTGATTATATTCGATTGAGGTTTGAATGATTGAATGGCATGAATCCTGATCAAATTCCTGTTGTTTCTGTTTTAACCTAGAATGAGAATATCTGCCTAGGTTGATAGAGCACCCTTAATTGAAGCACTACAAAAAAGTCTGGCAGAAGTGACCAGAACCTTCTGACGACACAGTTTTTTCATTGGAAATAACTGTTTTTGTGACAAACTTTTATTTTGCTCATGAATACTTATGTTATTTCCGACTAACAGTTAAATTCATCAGAAATGTCTAAATCGTTCCTCATTAAAGGTAAATTTCACATATATGATGAAGGTTGTGCCACTTTTATTGACGATATTTTAATTGCCGTCAGTAACGAATAACATTACTCACTAACTTACAAAAACCGTTGGAAATATTTATTGTTTGTGACGCCGAAAACTGTTCTACAATTTAGAATGCTTTTTTGTGACGCCAAATGATCTCCTCGGAAAAGTACAGTTTGGAATAATTATATCCGTGAGGATTTTATTTACTCGTCAGAAAAACTATATTTTTTCGAGAATGATACTTATATCTGCGAGGATTTTATTTATCCTTCAGAAAAACTTATTTTTTTCGACTATGATAATAGGTCGTCAATAAAAAATGGTTAGAACAAATGCACATTACATGTAGCTACCTACCTTGTATTAATGACTACATATGTTCCGTTGGTAATGAACAAATGGTTTGAAAAACATAAAGAATAAAAACAATATTAGTGAGCAAACGCGTGTTCGTCAAAACTAGTAAAATAAATCGTCAAAAACAGAACATTACTAACGAATTATGATGTCGTAAGAATTTTTTTTAAAATATTCCCTTTTTACCCTTCAGCTCATCTTTTTCAATTGTTGATATGAATTCGTTGGAAATAATTAGTCACAAATATTGATTTCACATACAGTAGATTAGTGCATTGGTGTCACAAAAAAACCTTTAAATTAGTCACAAATATTGATTTCACATACAGTAGATTAGTGCATTGGTGTCACAAAAAAACCTTTAAAAAATTTAAGTCTATGATGCAACTCGAACCTAGGACCTCTTCTTCATAAATAAGAGTACACACCAGTTATGCTACATGCAATTTGCGTGACTTTGTTATTTCTGTTTCTAATTATTGTGTAATAGAAATATATTTGCAGAGAACTCCCCATCTTCTTCAGATCAATTCAACACTGGTTCTTCCCCTGCAGAACAATAAACGAATCTCAGGCGCTGTTCTTCCCCTGCAGACCAATTAATTCCAAAATTACAATAAATGGTAACGATACAAATTAATCAAAACTGTTCAACGCATCTAAACTGTCATTCGTTCACATCATCCTCTTAATTGCGGCCAAAGGGAGAAAGGGGGAAGAACAAATCAATCAACAAACTCTTTATAAAAAACCTCTGCAAACCAAAGAACAAATAACAAATCACTCGAACGAACTCTGAAATAGCAAATTGAGAAGACTACACCGCCGATCCCCACCGCCAGACTGCAGCGCCGGAGTTGCCGTTTTCCGCCGCTAGACTGCTCCGCCGGAGTTACCGTTTCCCCACCGCCGGAATACACCGCCGGAGTTACCGTTTCACCATCGCCGGAGTGCACCGCCGATTGAGAAGACGACTGCAACTCTGGAAGTCTGAAACGACGCCTTGGAGAACTCTGGAAGTCTGGAACTCTGGAAGTCTATCTGGCCGCTGCGGTTTTGGGACGCGAAGAAAGGTAAGGGGTTGTTTTCCGGCTTTTTTATTATTTTATTGGTATTTTTATGAATTCTCTAGTCCATACACGTGCAAATATGTTTTATTTTGTAATTTATTATTTTATTGAATATGATTATGTAGCTTAAAGTGGAAGTATTTAAGTTTCCTAGTTGGTATTCAATTAAAATTATATTGAATGTGATTAACTATTTGTTTGTAATTTACAATTATTTTAAAATCAATAATTTAATTTACATGAATAAGTTAGTTTTACTTTGTAATATTTTCTAACAAAGTAAATTTTCTACGTCTGTAGGTATGGAACCTATAGACAAAGCTTGGATACAATTGAAAAATCGAGCATGTACACAGTACTTTGCGGGAGTGGAAAAATTCACGAAGTACGCAACAGACCATGTTAAAGACGATGATGGTCTAATAAGGTGTCCTTGCGTGGAATGTGGTAGTGTGCGTAGAATGACAGTGAAACAGGTAGAATTACATCTTCTTTATAAGGGAATGAGAAGCGACTACACTAAATTTACCATGGTGAGGTCGATGAAGATGAAGAAGATGATGACGATGAAGGTCTAGAATTGGGTGATGATAACATGGAAGAAGAAAATAGAGATGGTGACGATATGGGTGAAGATAACGATATGGGCGAAGATGATATGCTTGGTGTTCTGAACGACCTCATGGCTCCATTAGTGAATCCGGAAGAGCCTAATGCCCAAGCTCAAAATTTCTACAAACTTTTTGGAGAGGCCCAATCACCGTTGTACGAGGGATGGGCTTCGAATGTGTCAAGATTGTCATTCGTCACAAAGCTTATGAAAATCAAGTGGGAGAATAATTGGAGTAACAATTCATTTACCCAGTTGGTCAAGTATATTCGGGCTGTATTTCCTATGGCGAAATCACTTCCGAAGAATTACTATGAAGCAAAGCAGCTTATGAAAGCCCTTGGGCTACACTACGAAGAAATAGATGCATGTGAGGACGATTGCGTCCTATACTACGCCGAGCTAGCAGATGCGACATCTTGCCCCACGTGCAAAAAATCAAGGTGGAAGAAAGTTTATAAGGATAAGAAGGGCAGAGATAAGAAAATTCCGTGAAAAATTATACGGTATTTTCCTATCAAACCACGACTACAAAGATTATTCATGTCTTCCAAAAATGATAAAGATATGGTATGGCATGCTCTAAACCGCTCGAAAGATGGGATCTTGAGGCATCCATGTGACGGAGAGGGTTGGAAGGCTTTGGACGAGTTTGACCCATCTTTTGGTTCTGAACCCCGCAACGTTCGTTTGGGACTAGCGACTGATGGTTTCAACCCATTCGGCAATATGAACAACAAGCACAGCACGTGGCCGGTCCTTCTATTCCCGTATAATCTCCCTCCTTGGAAGTGCATGAAGAATCCTTTCACCTTCCTGACATTGCTCATTCCTAGCCCAAAAGCTCCGGGTAATAGTATTGATGTTTTTTTGAGACCTGCTATCGATGATTTGAAGGCTTTGTGGAATAAAGGCTTGTTAACTTATGATGCATTCAAAAAGGAGAACTTCATCATGCGAGCTGCATTGTTGTGGACCATCAATGATTTTCCGGCTTACGCTAATCTTTCTGGATGGAGTACAAAAGGTAAATTAGCTTGTCCATCGTGTGCTGGGGAAATAGCGCATTTGAGGTTGACAAACTGGCATAAGGAGTGCTATATGGATCATCGTCGATTTTTGCCATTGGATCATAAGTGGCGCAAACAAAAGAAGCAATTTAACGGTAGAGTAGAGAAGAGGCCCAGACCAAGGCAATTGTCATCACTCGAGGTATCAAATCAGATCCACTCATTCAATCAAATTGTGTTTGGGATCAAAGGAAAGGGTAAAAAGATCGATGGATTTGGTAAAGAACATAATTGGAAAAAAATATCCATTTTCTTTGAATTGCCGTATTGGAGTTCACTTAGGTTACGCCACAATTTAGATGTCATGCATATTGAGAAGAACGTGTGTGACAGTGTTTTGGGTACAATGATGAGTATTGAAGGCAAAACCAAGGATAGTCTAAATGCCCGCAAAGATTTGCAGGAGATGGGATTGAGAAATGAATTACATCCTGTAGAGAGGAACGGGAGAACAGTGTTACCTCGAGCTTTATATAGCTTGCTGCCAGCGCAGAGAAGGGAATTTTGCGAGTGGATATCAAACTTAAAGGTTCCAGATGGTTATTCTTCCTATTTGAGGAATTGTGTGAATGTTCATGAAGGGAAGATTTCAGGAATGAAAACTCATGATTGCCATATCATGTTGGAAAGATTAATTCCTCTTGCAGCTAGGGACTTCTTTCCGAAGGCTATAGAGGACCCCTTAATTGAGTTTGGCAATTTCTTCAAGAATATATGTTCGAAGGAGCTAAGTTTGAAAGAGTTATCAGCCATGGATTCTGAAATCGCCATAACCCTCTGTAAGTTGGAACGTGTATTTCCCCCAGCATTCTTCGATATCATGATTCATTTGGCCATCCATCTACCTTGGGAAGCAAAAATTGCTGGACCCGTCCAATATCGTTGGATGTATCCTGTGGAAAGGTATGAATTTCATTATCTTTAATTTATTGTTTTTCGTTTTTACTAATTCTTGAAACATGTCCAAAAATTTATTGTTTTTCGCTTTTTAATAATTCTTGAAACATGTCCAAAAATTTATTGTTTTTCGTTTTTTAACAATTCTTGAAACATGTCCAAAAAATTTATTGTTTTTTTTTACTAATTCTTGAAACATGTCCTAAAATTTATTGTTTTTCATTTTTTAATAATTCTTGAAACATGTCCAAAAAATTTATTGTTTTTGTTTTTTTACCAATGAATAGGATTAACTATTAATCTTTCCTACTTTTTTTACTAGGTATCTGAAGAAATTGAAAGGTTGGGTTCGTAACAAGGCAAGACCAGAAGGATCTATTGCTGAAGCATACGTGATTGATGAGTGCGTTACATTTTGCTCGCAATACATGACAGATGTGGAAACTCGATTTAATCGTCCTGAAAGAAATGATGATAGTATTGCGGAGGGAACCGTTCACCCACATAATTTGTCCATTCTGCCACGTGTCGGTTGTTTCATTGGCACATTCATCATGAAGGACTTTAATGATGATTTGTTCAATGCTGCAACGTTTTATGTCTTGCAAAACTGTGACGAAGTCGAGGAATTTAGGCGGTACGTACGATTTATACCTCTTCAATACTGTTAGTATTACTACATTAATAATCACTATTTTAAGAATTTGCATATGTACGTATACTATATATATAGACAACACAAGGATTTTTTGGCTGGACGCGGTGTGAGAATGGTTGAGAGAGTGCATAGGGAAGAATTCCAAAAGTGGTTCGCTATTCAGGTAACTATTCTGACACAAAATTTTTTTAAGTGTTGTCTTATTATGATATTTGTGTAGAATAAATAAAAAAAACTGCTCGATGATGCAGGTGGGCAAAATGATTGATGACAATGTTGCAACTTTGCATCCATCTATGTTGACTTTATCTCGAGAGCTGGACAAACGAGTGTTGCACTACTCGGGGTATTGCATCAATGGATTTAGATTCCACACGCAAAATCACGAGATTAGAAAAACAAGTCAAAATAGTGGAGTCATGGTGCGAGGTGAGGAAGGTGTGGGGATTCCTTACTATGGCGTAATTGAAGATATCATAGAGTTGCGATATACTGAAGGGTTTCGTGTAGTGTTATTCCAATGTGAATGGTATGATACCACGTGAGAAGGCGTAGGCTATAGGAGGGATGGCCACGGTGTTATAAGCCTCCATAGAAGACGAAGGCGATCAACGGACGAACCTTGCGTTTTGGCAAGTCAAGTAACCCAAGTGTATTATGTGCAGTGTGCCAGAGATCCGGAATGGGACATGGTGGTTGAGACAAGGTCGAGGAATCTTTATAATGTGGCGGATGTCGAAGAAATTTTAGAAGAACAAGCATACCAAGAAGATGGTATGACTAATGGGGGTCGAGTTATCGAGGACGAGGACGACGATGTTAACTTAAATCTGCGTGGCATGGGTTATGAAGAATTTCATTAATCATGTAATATGACTTTAAATTTTGCTTCCTACATTATGAACTTGTTACTTTAACTATTACTATCAATTTTGATTTAGTTAAACATATACATTATAGTATTGTTTTGTTAGAAAATTGAAATTTAAAATAACTATATTCATAAAAAAAAAATATTAGGTATATATAGATAATGTTTACTACTATATTTAAATGACTTATATAAAAGTATATTAGCATAAATGAATTACTATATTATGCCATATGCTGTTTAAATCACTTATATTATACCTAATGTTATAATGTTATATAGAATAATTGTTAAATCACTTACAAATGAATTACTTATAATGGTAATTCACTTATATTGGCTGAAACGCCACCGCCGCACTGAAATGCCAGACGTTTCAATTCTAAAACGCTGCCGTCGATCGAATGTGGCTGTGGAAAAGGGGAAATTCCCCTCTGCCTCTTTTGCCTCCTCATTTTCCTACGAAACCCTAGATTTCTGCTTCGTCGATCGAGAGCTCGCGCGTCTTCCCTTGAATCGAAATTGCCGAGGGCAGTGTCACAATTCGAGTGAAAGGTTTAATGAAGCAAAGCATCGTTCTGGAATCTCTCGATGCTTTAAGTCACAATGAAGGAGACAGCGGAGAATCCACCATCGGATGGAGAGGCGCGAGACATGCAACGCGAGAAGGCGATCCATCGGAATTGATTGCAGAGTTTCTGGGAGGTACGAAGTGTCTGGATTAATAACTTTGCATTTAACTTGCGCAGTTAATTCTAAGTTGCCCGTTTGATGATTCATCCGATCGAGTCTTTAGCTTTCAATTTCTTACCTTATTCCTAGAAACAACTCGTCGACGACTAAACTCATAAACATCATCTGTATCCAATTCCTTACCCCAATTATCTACCCTAGTCTTTACCCTGTATATATATATCCCTCTTCTTTTATAACGACAAACCTCACAACCTAGATAGAACCCCTCTCCTCAGGCAAACAAAAAACCAGACGAAAAGCTTAAGTCTGATTGCACAAAGTAAATAATTTTCTCTTAGTTCCTTTCCTTTTCATGTATTAGTTGTGTCTAAAGTGTACCTGTAACAATTTGAATGTTGTTTCTTCTAGATGGGAAGGCCAAAAAAGGCTGGGAAGACAAAGCCTTCCAAAAGGCCAGTGGAGGAACCAGAAAGGTCAGCCCCTGTAGAGAATGTCGAAGTGGTTACTCAGGAAAGTGAAACCATGCCAGAAACTCAGCAGGCAGAAAGGGAGGGTGAACAACAAGTGAATGAGCTTGAGAATGAAGAAGTTAATATCCCGAATGATGACATAGCTTTTGAAGAGGATGCGAACCTAAGCCAGGGGTCTCATTCTACTGGGGGATGTTCTTCGGCTCAGAAGAAGAAAGGCAGAGGTCCTGGAATAGGGGTGAAGCCGGGTCATGGCATTCACCTTGAGATACATGACAACAGGTATATATATAATTTCAAGCCTTTTGTGTGTAGAACCTAATAATTTGCATTGAGTCGATTAATGTTTATGCACTTTCTCTTGTATTTGTAGGATCGTAACACCACAGGCTGCCCATGAACTCACTGCCATCTTCAAAAGGAGCATCACTGGACCATGGATAAGGTTCTCAGAGTACCCTGCTTCTGCTTTGCAGACCGTGATTGCTCGTTTCAAGGAATCTGGGTTCACATGCTCTCTGCCAGAGGAAGAACTCAATGTTCATCTCAAGGAACATATCAAGAGGAACTTTTCCCAGTGGATGTATGGGTTCCGTAACCGAGTATTCTCTGAACATGCTACCCTTGCTGAAAGGCTTAACAATCCACCTACTGAAATCCCTGCTCATATTTGGAGGGATATGGTTAACAAGTGGAGTGACCCAAACTGGAAGGTAATTACTGCTATCTAAGCTTGTGTATTATGATTATTTGTGTTTGTATCTAATTTCTATTGTCTGTACACTCCGCCAGAGCACCAGTGATAAGAACAAAGCCAATCGTGAGAAGTCTGAGATCACTGCTACTGGCGGATCTGTTCCCATGGCAAAGTTTAGGCTTGATCAGGTAAAACACGATCTGTTCTCTTGTATTTAATAAGAACGAAGCTAATTATGAGAAGTGTGAGCTCACTGCTCCTGTTTTTTTCTTGTGTTTGCAGATCAAGAAGACTGGAAAAGAACCAGATCCTATAGAGACATTCAAGAAGTTCCATGTTAAGAAGGCCAATGGTGAATTCACCAACCCAAAAGCTCAGACTATACTTGTAAGTACATTGCTTGTTAAGTAATTTTAGCTTTCTTCTGCGTCTTTAAAATCATTTAAACTCAGCGTATTAGTTATTAAATACTATGTGTGTAGGCTGAATTGAAGAATAAGGAAGCTGAGAAGTTGACTCAAGGGGAAGAGGTGAATCAGTTTGCGATTTATGGTGAGGTTGTAGGAAAACAGTCTAGGAAACGTGTGCTGGGAATGGGTTATGGTGTAAGTGGTGTGGATATGTTTGGCCCTACCTCCGGTCAGGGCTGCAGCAAAAGGTGCGAAGAGGACCGAAGGCAAGAGAAGGTGAAGAATGATGAGATGATAAGCATGCTGAAAGAAGAGCTAGTTCAGGTGAAGAATGGAATTCCTCAGATTGTCGAGGACACCTTGAAGAGGCTAGGAGTTACTTTGGTAGAGTCCTCAATGGTAAGTGTTTGTTGCTGTTTTTTAGTTGGTTGAACATGATTAATGGTATGAACCTTAGTTTTCATATCTATTTAACTTTGTAATTTAGGCTGGAGACAAGGGGGTGAATGATGAAGATGAAGATGGAGACGATGAAGTGAATGATGAAGATGCGGACGGTATTGACGATGAGAACAACTCCCCCTGATGATGATGATTACTAAGTTTGCAGCGCTAGGAAGGAGGCAACAGTAGGAACTTTGCAAGTTCCAATTTTCAATCGGAAGTCAGCAGCTAGGAAGAAGGCAATCTTAGGAACTTTGCAAGTTCCATTTTTCAATCGGATTATGTCTATGTTATGTTTTGTTTTGTTAAGTGTTTGGTTGTTTTGTTATATGTTTGAACAAGTGTTGAAGTTGGTCTTTGTTTAAGACAGTTTTGGTGGTTATGCCACCTAATTTTATGGAGAAGTTTCCTTTTTTGCTAATATATTGCATTAGTTAATTTCTTTTATGCTTTTAATAAATTACCCGCAAAATAAAATTTATTATTATTATTTCTCATTTTTCATCACTAATAATATATAGTAAAAATATTTACAATATCGGACAACGATATAATTTGGTTACAGTAGCACGAAATTTGGTTAGAATTGTCGAGTTGCTTCCCACGAATATTTTGTGTTTCAAATATTCTATTTGTAATGCAACAAAATGGTTAGCTTTAGTAAGTCATTTCCGATGAATATTTTGTGTTACAAATATTCTTTTTTAACAAAACAATTTGGTTAGATTTAATATGTTTCTTCCGACGAATATGTTGTGTGACAAATAGCCTATTTTTAATGCAACAATCTGGTTACATGAACACAAAATTTGGTCTAAATTAATTAGTTTCTCCCTACGAAACTTTTGCGTCAAAAATATTCAATATTTTCTTCTGACCTTATTTTCTCGTTGGAAACTAAATTTACAATTATGACGAATAGTTTTTGGTGACGCAAGATATTCATTATAAATACCACAGGGGTGTTTTAGGAACATAATTAACCCTCGCAAAAAACTGTTCTTTTACGACAAACAACTGTGGTCAAAACGTATAAAGGGTATTTTCGGAAAAAATGTCATCTTTTTATTAACGAATTTTTTCTTTACTAACAAACACGTTTTCCTCAATTATAGTTTATCTAACAAAATGTACTCCTCACAAAAAATATTTCATCCCTTAAAAATAGAGTTGGTCAAACAATTTCGTTAATGACGTTTCTTTTCTGATCACGATATTTTGCATTATGATAAAAAATAATTGTCACAAATGTATGATTTTCTGACGCAAGTACATTTAAACTATTAGCGAGGGACCCTTACCCCACGACTCACCAACGACCGTATTTCGTCAAAATAACCCTATTGTGACGAGAAAAGACCTTTTGTGACACCAATCGTCTGGTTACATCTGCCAGTCTTTTTTGTAGTGAAGGTAGTGAATTGGCGACTTTAGTCGAGGAACCAATTCACTATTCTGTACCGAATTTACTTCGGTAGTGGAGGTTTTGTCCATTAGGGCCTCAATCTGTTTACTCCGGTGGAGGTTAGTCGCCCGCTAGAGACTCAGATTGAGAGGGTCTGGAGACCTTTAGTCGAGACTTCAGAATGTTTAAGAACCTTCCGCAGTATAACTATCATAGAAATTGAACTTGGTAAATTGCAATCCGGCTTAACTGCACTCTAGGGGGAACCATATCCGGGTGACCTCTCTCGACTTGAAACAACCGTTTAACTTGCTTTGTGTTTTTGTTTGTTTGAACCTGCACTTAAGTTTTACCGCTAGATAATAAGAATTCACTGAGTAGTCATCATATCTAGGACCCGGGTTGACATTAAAACCCAAACCCGCTATACTATGCTTTAGGAAGTGGTTTCACTTGGCCATTTTCTAGAGTGACAGTAGGAGTGAGTCAGCGGGACAAAGCAGGGCAGGTCAGAAGTAATACCCAAGTCCTGCCTCATGCTACGGCGGGTCGGGTAATACCTGCCCATACAAGTAGGGACAAGTGAGGTCGTACGGATCATGTCGGAAATTGCCATCACTATGAATAAGGAAAGGAAAGAGAGAGGGGCACACTTGGGGAAATAAAAGTTTAGGACTTTGCTACGGTGACATGCACTTTTCGGTCGACCTCATATAGGATTAGGTTGACCTAATCTGTTGTTTCAGTGTAAAAACAGTTTCATGGTGTCTACTTTGGAGATTCATATCTTACAATTGGCTAGATGGAAATTGGAGATTAAAGGCTTGTTTTGAAGCTGAAGTGTCCCTCTACACATTAAAGTACTTGAGAGCTCAATAGAATGTCCAGAAGACCATTTTTGAACCTGACCAAAAGGCTATGCCAAAACTTGGAAACTGCGTGAAAATGGCTAAGTTTGGCAACGTGTTTGTCAAGCCTACTTTGGAGCTCAATTTGAGAAGCATGGATGCGAGTCAAGTCCAGGGCCTCTACCACGTTAAATTACGTATTTTTTTATACAAAGGCAAGGCATTGGATGAAAGATTGAATATCTTTAAGGCTTCAACAAAAGGCTCGAAGTTGCTACGAAGGCTGTTTTTCTGGCAGCTTGCTTGTGCTCGAAGTCTGCCAGAAAAACAGCATTTGTAGCAACTTCGACCCTTTTGTTTGGAGCCTTACATATATACAATCTTTCATCCAATGCCTTGAATTTGTATAAAAAAATACCTAATTTAACGTGGTAGAGAGGCTCCTGGACTCGACTCGTATTCATGCTTCTCGAATTGAGCTCCAAAATAGGCTTCACAGACACGTTTCCAGACTTAGCCATTTCCAGGCAGTTTCCCAGTTTTGGCATAGCCTTTTGATGAGGTTCAAAAATGGTCTTCTAGACTTCCTATCGAGCTCTCAATCACTTTAATATGTAGAGGGACACTCCAGCTTCAAAACAAGTCATTAGTCTTCAATTTCCATCTAGCCAATTATATGATATGAGTATCCAAAGTAGGCACCATGAACTGTTTTTACACCGAAACAACATATTAGGTCGACCTGATCCTATATGAGGTCGACCGAATCCTAAATAAGGTCGACCAGATCCTACATGAGGTCGACTGAATTCTAAATGAGGTCGACTTAATCCTAGCTGAGGTCGACCGGAAAGTGCAAGTCACCGTGACATGCATGTCACCGTAGGCACACCCTTCCTACCACAAGCACAGGTGAGGTCAGATAATACCCGCGCGTGTACGGGCGGGGCGAGTCGACTCATTCTTATAGGTTATTTGAAAAAAGAACGTCGATATTTAACTCTTTACGAGAACACATAGATAAAACACTTCATAAATGAATGATAAATATAGTAGAAGGAATAACTTAGTCTAAGTAGTTGAAAGACAAAGTTTTAAAATTTATTTGGGATGGCAATATGATTTAGGAAGGTCAAAAGATGAGAAATACATGTAGGTATTGATGCAATTTATAATATATCGGGTCAAGAATGAGGCGGGACCAAGCAGGGCAGGTCAGAAGTAATACCCAAGTCCTGCCTCATGCTACCGCGGGTCGGGTAATACCTGCCCATACAGGCAGGGACAAGTGAGGTCGTACGGATCAGGTCAGAAATTGACATCACTAGGAATAAGCAGAGGAAAGAGAGAGCGGCACACTTGGGGAAATAAAAGTTTAGCACGCTATTTGTAACTAACGCTCCCTTCCCAAGCATTATTCGGAATAACTCACAAAAAAAATTATTTGTAACAATAGTACATCCAAACTACCCCTAAATATAAAGCTTATATACTGAAATGTGTCGGATGAAAAGATTTGTGGGTTTCGAGTGACATATATCTCTGTCTAAAACAATTTAAAAATTTTAATCTAAACTAGCCATTGTGTTACGTTTATACCTAATATAATTTATATTCTAGCACGACAAAGGACAAACTCTAAATTTCCTTAAAAAAAAAAATTTCTAATTGAAATTAGGGTGATCACAATCAATTGACAAGTAGTAGAGTTTTTATTAAGTGTAGATTTGATGTTGAGTCCACCTATAAGTTGCTTGAGGTCTCTTAATCTCGACAATAACTACTAATAACCATAAGAATGTCTCAACTGTGTTTCCACACAAATAGCTCTATATGGGACCTTATAGATAACCTGAGTGGGTGAGCGGCTGCTTCTTCACTTTCATGTAATTCGCGTAGGGCAGACATTGCAATATAATTAGCAGCAATAGCATCAATTTTGGTATGTTGCGTAGAGAAGGGAGAGATTAAGAAATGATTCCCACTTGTTGGGTGGCTGGCGGTATCGATTTCGGTTGATTAATAAATGCATCCCTTTTAATTAATTTCGGGCCTTCCAACAAGACGAGAAATGGTGATCAACTCCCACTTCTGACGCTTCACTAGTTGCAGCTTTCCCTCTCCCATGTCGCAGCACAATATTACTCTTGCTTCAGAGCAGCAGCAGCAGCAAACTGCTCTCCCCGTGCCCCAAAATTTGCATCCATCTGTCCCCAAACAACGGATAAGGCCGCCGGTAGGAGGTAATAGAGCCGTTCTCTTCGTGTTCGGTAAGTAATCCCAATACCCATTTGGTTTCCCACCGCCATCTACTCCATTTCTTAAATTTGTTACGTAATTTCACCTCCTGACTTCAACCTAATTGGGTTACTACGTGGCTGATTCATATTTTCTGTATGCGTCGGATATGGATCGAATCAGGTTATGCCGGGCTGGAAAACATGGCGTTCATAGCCAACGCGTTGAGCATCTTCATCTACTTGACCTCCGACATGAACTTCAGCCTGACCAAGTCCGCCACCGCGGTCACCAACTTCATGGCCACGGCCTACCTCCTCGCCCTATTTGGCGGCTTCCTCTCCGACACCTACCTCTCCCGTTACGCCACGTGCCTTCTCTTCGGCGTGATCGAAGTCTTTGGGTACTCCCTGTTGGCAGTCCAGGCCCACTTACCTCAGCTCCGGCCCAATCCATGCCAACCCAACACCACCACCACCACGGCGGCCCAGTGTGAGCCCGCCAACGGGGCCCAATCTGCGTTTCTGTTGGTCGGGCTCTACTCGGTCGCGATAGGCGCCGGCGGGGTGAAGGCGGCTCTGCCGCCGTTCGGGGCCGACCAGTTCGACGCCAGGGACCCGAAAGAAGCGGCTCGGCTAGCCAGCTTCTTCAACTGGTATTTTGTCAGCTGTACGGTGGCGGCGGCGGTTGGGGTGACGCTGATCGCGTGGGTGTTTGCCAACCATGGTTGGGACTTGGGGTTTGGAATCTGTGGGTTGGCTGTGCTGTGCGGCGTCGTTCTGGTTTTGTTTGGGAGGCCTTTCTATCGAATCGATGCTCCGGAGGGAAGCCCCTACGTTAGAGTTGCACAGGTAAATAGATCGGACTCATTGGAGTAAGTATACGATTGACGATCTGTTGAATGTGAAGGTGTTCTTTTTATGGTTTATTAGGTGTTTGTGGCCGCTGTTCGAAACAGGAAGCTTCCAACACCAAAGATGGATGATGTGTTGTTCGAGAGCGTGGAGAAATGTGGAGAAGATGGGAGTAATGGTGAAATTCTTGGTAGGACTGATCAATTCAGGTTAATTACTGAAACCCCTTAACTAATTGTGGTTTCTAGCTAGTTGTTTAGAAGTAGATCTGGCAATGGTTAATTGACTTAATTCATTGGGTCATTTGACTTTAAATGTCATATTGTATTAGTTTGGACCCATATATTTTGGATTTGGGTTGGTTTAAATTTTGCTTAGCTCATATGGGGTGCACCCGATGGATCTATTTGGGTCCAGATGAACGTTAAGAAAAAACAATATCAACTATCTCACTAACGGTTTTCAACCTAATTCACACTTATAATGTTGGTCTTAACACTTTTCTTTTGGTTTCAAAATGAAAAAAATGCAAAATCCTCATTTTCTTTTGGATATCCAATATAGTGAGAATAATTTAGGTTCAAAACAAAAGGTTGGTTTTTGCTCTGCCCAAAAGTGGCATTATTAAACTTGATTTGACCCATAATAAATTGGATTTGAGCATTAACGATTTTTTATTTTTTTTTGCCACCCCTGTTTTGAAGGTCCACTATGATTTGGCTTCATTGATCTTGTCGTCACTTTTATATAACGAATTTGCAGGTTCTTGGACAAGGCGGCGATTATAAAAACCATGAAGGACGAAAGTTTTGCAAACCCAACAACTCAAAATACATGGAGACTATGCCCAGTGACACAAGTGGAAGAAACCAAAATCCTGATTCGGATGCTGCCAATTATTCTGTGCACATTATTCGCCAACACATGTGTAGCCCAACAACAAACTTTCACGGTGCAACAGAGCCGCACCATGGATCGGAACCTCCTCGGGTTCCAAGTCCCTGCTTCCTCCATCCCTGTAATTCCCCTGATTTTCATGTCCGTTCTGGCCTCAGTTTATGATCGCTTCTTCGTCCCACTTGCCCGCAAATTCACCGGAATCCCCACCGGCATTCGACACCTCCACCGAATCGGTCTCGGCCTTGTCCTCTCCGTTGTCTCCATGGCGGTCTCTGCCGTAGTGGAGGCCAAGCGGAAGCGCGTGGCGGCCCAACATGACATGTAAGTTTGTTCCCGCACACTCCCTCCTTCAATGTGTAAAATGTTATTCTTTGCCTATAGATTTTTTTGTGCAAATTTCTTGGTGATACAAATTAAATTTGTGACTTCAAAATTAAGAAAATTCAACTTGTACTTAAAGGAAGCGGTGCTTATTGTTAAATCGAAACTGATAATCGAAATGGGGCGAGATTAATGTGGTTTTTTTGTTCGTGATGAACAAGATTGATCCACGGGAAAGTATACGTCTCTTATTATTGTTCTGCGGCAACCAAACTCCAAACAAACACACTATATATACGATACTCAATATCTCAACACTTATGAGTATTGTAAAATTCATATTTTAGCTTCACTATTATGTTTATAATAAGCAATAGCACTTTCATTTAATAAAAATATTTTATGGTACAAACTGGATATATAACTTTAAAGTTATGGTAATTTATTTATGGTACATACTGAACATGTATTTTAACGTTATGGTAATTTCAATTTGTACTCATATCATTTAGTATTGAACTTGTATCTTCAACATCATAATACAAATTCAACTTGAAACTGAAAACACTGATGTAAAACTCCTCCGGTAAAATATATTTGGCTTAATTAATTAGTAACTTTAAAGTTATGGTACAAACTGGATATATAACTTTAAAGTTATGGTAATTTATTTATGGTACAAACTGAACATGAATTTTAACGTTGTGGTAATTTCAATTTGTACCCATATCATTTAGTACAAATTTTTTGATGGTACAAACTGAACTTGTATCTTTCAACATCATAATACAAATTCAACTTGAACCTGAAAACACTGATGTAAAATTCCTCTGGAAAATATATTTGACTTAATTAATTAGTACTGAGGGTTATTTGTGGAGCCAAAAACTCGTCAGGTAAGGAAGTGGTTAAATGGATCTCTCCCCACAATTCCAATTATTGGGACAAATTGGTTTATAACATGATATAAAAGTTACGTTGATTTGTACTTAAAGTCAAATGTTCAAGTTCACACGATCTTGTTCTCTTTAAAATCACAACATTTGTGCAAATCCATGGTAGTTAAATGTTGACTTGCCCTGATTTTTAATTTCGAATGCAAAATATTACAGGGTGGACTCGGTGCTTCCTCTGCCGTACAGCGTGTTCTGGCTGGGATTCCAGTACGCCATCGCCGGAGCATCCGATCTGTTCACGCTGGTGGGAATGATGGAGTTTTTCTACTCGGAAAGCGCCGTCGGCATGAAGGGATTGGGCGCCGGCATCACTCTGTCGTCGTTGGCGTTCGGGTTTTACCTGAGCTCGGTGGTGGTTCGAGTTGTGAACGAAGTCAGCGGCGGCTGGTTGGCCAGCAATAATCTGAATCGCGACAAGCTGGACTATTTCTATTGGCTGCTATCGGGGCTCGGCGTCGTGAACTTCATGGTTTATTTGTTCTGTGCCTATTCCTATAGGTACAAGAAGGTGGAATTCGTTGAGAAGCAAAATGGAGAAAAGGATGAAGAAACGTGAGAGTGCAGGAGAGGGTTAAGAGAATAATATAGCTGATTTCACATCAATCACGCAATCAGCGGTTGATGTGATATTGTGATTTTCATGGGATTCATGAGAATAATGCATGAAAAAAAAAAGAAGCTTTAACTTGACGAGATGGGTTGAAAAAGTGATTATGTATGTGATTAAGTAAATGTTAACATGGTGAAAATATATTATATGCACGTAAGCGTGCCATTACGTTGTTACACCGTGACACGAAAGGTTACACAATCTAATGTGATGAGTCAATTTTTGGTGAGTTGATGGGTTGGTTTGTTAATAAATTTTTGATTGGTACTACAAAGGGATCCACCGCTGATACTAGTGAGTAGTGACTAACGACGCAATAATTAATCGCTCGAAATGATCTATAATTGACCAAGAAATGAACTCTACCTGATTAAAAGAATGAGCACATCAACCACCACGCCACAACCTTGAAAATCGAAGTTTACCAGGAGCGTGTATGAGAAGAAATTCAGATATGGAGAATTTGCTCACTAAGCTTTTTCATTTGATAAGAGAATAATATTGTTGTTGGTATATAAAAGCCACAGTTTTGGGTACTGTTCATTAGTGGCCCACACGGTTACCATCTGCGAGTGGGCTTCTTCCACCCGTTTCCACCTGCATGGGCCACGTTGGTCTATTTCCTTACTCACAGAGACACTTGGACCGCCTCAATACCCAACGCGCCATGTGCGAACCAGAGGTTCTGGGTTTTGCCCATCGGACAACCAGGTTCCTCCGCTGCAGCTGCCTGCCGTTCGCTTCTCCTCTCTGACACGCAGAGACTCTTTCTTTCGTCCCGTCTCCTCAACACCGGCGCAGGCGCACGCAATCCCTGGTCATACGCCGATGCGCACCACCCAGAACGCTCCAACTCCCAATTCCTCCTCGGAAATCGCTATGAGTCATTCGTGCATCTTTGCTTGGAATACTCCTTTTCACACACACAGCCCATCCCTCCCACAACTTTTACTCCCACTTTGAAAATTGTTCGGCGGAATTCAACCTCCAGCCGAGTCCCAAACTCCCAGGTACGCTGCTATGATACTTTCCAGTAGAACAACCCTTTCCATTTTCCAATCTCAGCTCTCTAACCCTAGATCCCGAATTCGCAGCGATGCCCACCAAATCTACACGACGGTCCAAGCATGTCGACGCTCCACCGGCTCCAGGAATGCCAGAACCGCCGCCATCTACGCCAAAAACTGACCGGAAGGCAAAGAATCGCGGTTCTGTGTCGACTTCCAAAACTCCCAAAGCCCTCGAACGCCGCAACCGCGTCCCGCCTCCTGCTGCACAAGAAACTCAGCCGACGCCGCCTTGATGGAACGCTTACAAGCTACTTCCATTCGTTTAGCTTTGCGGGGCATTGACTGCTCCCTAACGCCCCAGACCCACAAATAGCAGCCGGACGACTTCGTACAAAACCGGCGTCGTCGTGAACAACCTCTGCGGCTTCCCCTTCTCACAAAGCACGCTGCTTGCCGCCGTCGTGAGCCCATCTCCCTCTAAAACTCGCCGGCTGAACTCCACCTTTGAATCTTGGCGGTTGAGTCACAGGTACTCCTCTGATCCCAACCCTATGCTTGCTAGGTTGTTCCATATTCCTCCCCAATCGTTACTCATCGTCTTCAGTTTGGGAAATCCATCCCTTATTCTTCTGTTTCTCAGCACGTCTTCTCTGACTGCAGGTCGGGTAAGCGAGGCAACGGAATAGATAGCAGCTTTTGGATCTTCTTCTTCCGTTTATGGGTTTGGTCTCTAACACCGACTGTTGAAACCGTAACTTCCCCCCAGATTGATTTTTGGTCAGATAGTTTATATAATTTCTGATTATTTCCATGAAGCTTGGACTGGGTTTTCACGGAAGGTTTCAAGTGGCTTGCTGGGTTTGTGAGGCTCTCCCTTGCCTCTGCCATTATGTTGTGGTAACAAGGAATTCACTTTTGGGCTTAATTAGTTTTTTCCTGTACTTTTGGAGTTCATTAAAGTGAGCTTATTTGTGACCCAGCTTACAATTGTTGTATACCACAGTGATTGATTATGATGGTTGGCAAAAACGAAACCATTCTCTGGGATAAAGTCAGGGCACCACCAGGGCAAAGTATGGTGTGGGACTATATTAGATGAAGTTCATTCGAGTGAGTCGTCTCTCTCACAATCTTCTTTCTTCCTGCATAGATTGTATGACATATTTAACTTATGTGTAACGATCTACTGTTGCCTTTTTTCCGAACAGGCTAGATGAAGAGTTGATTGAGTCACTTTTTGGGTCCAGCATAAGAAGCATGGTTAAAGAGACAGAAGAAATTGAGCAAGATTAGAATCAGCCAAGCTCCTTAGGTGAGAAATCAACTTCAACTTGGCAATTGCCACTCTCTTATGTCCCTGCTTCCCAGTCATGAAATGTATAATAGGTTTCTTGATGATCCGAATGCTGGACTGAAAAGCTTTCAGTTTGTTTTTTCACTTTTGATTAGCTCATCACTTATTGACTATGTTCAACTACATTTCATGCTCTCTAATTGTCTATGTACGGTACTTGAATTAAGGTTAAAAGAGGAGTTAGAGAAGGCACTGGTCAGAGGAGTACAGGGAGTCTACTATGTTGTATGTTAATGAGAGCTCTCTTTGTTCACTTTTACAATCTTATAGCTTTGCCTTTCAGAGAAGGGTTAAACTTTTTTTGCCAAATTCCAGATTAATGGGAGCACAAGCATGACCAGAAAAAGGTTTCCTATGAGCTTCTGAAATTAATTCCAAATCATAAGTCTGCAACTAGATTCTTAGCATTATCCGCAGAGGAAGCTGCAGGACAATGACGCCAATTGGTTCTTCTCCTTCTCTCAAATGGCTATGAGGTGCTTACTACTTCCAAATTTTGCCTTATTGTTTTGTTTCACAGGTTGGTGATTAAAGCTTTAAGAAGGCAAGAAACTATTCAGGTCCTGGTACTTATTTATGCTCGCCTATTCTCCATGATTACCTTGCGATGTATGCATATTATGATATATCTTCAATAGCAATCCTCTGAATGCATTTAACTTTCCCCGTGTACTTGCAGACTGCAGTTGATGCTTTCTCAATACCAGGATTGCCTTTTATAACTTCAATCTTTTCTCATCCTTTTCCAATGCCTTTTATAACATTTATGTTGCATTTTCCCGTCTCATATGCTGCAGATGGTTAAAATATAGGTAGTTTGTGTCGGTGTGTCGATGATACGAGGACGAGTCGGGATGTCCCAAGTGCAGCTTTGCTTTACATGGAAGGGTAAATATTGCTTATTGACGCCATTACATATTTTGCTTCGGTTAATGTGAAAAAATTGTGGGGTAGTTTGCATTTCCCTCATGTCATTGATCACCCATTTATGTAGCCATTTGTATTTTCACATCCTTTTACAAGGGGGTGCTATATAGCCAACATGTATGGACCTTAGGTAAAAGAACCTATGCAATCATTTAGATTCTTGCTTAAGATAGATAGAAGGCAACTTTAGAATCATTAACTTTGGCTTGGTGCAGTTTGCTTAGAATTAAACTTTTGCCTTTTTTTATATATAGCAGGTTAGAAAAGCCAAGTTCATTAGAAATATAGACAGTTGTTGTAGAGCAAACTGTGGAGGCTATACTGAGCTGTTCTCTTCAACCGGTGAACTCAAAGAAGAGGTTCTACTTTGTCGGCAGTGAAGCAAAGGTCCTTCGTGGCAGAGGCGGATCATGGAGTTATGGAAAGAACAAAGTAACCTATCAATCTACTGATGATAGCATGTCTCTCTGTCTCAAGTGCATTTTTTTGGCAGGGGAAAGAATACTGGCTTTGTGTGGCTTGAGAATTCCAAACGTCGTTGTTCTTTCAAGGGAAGTAGAACATAATTGATTTGTTTTCTTGGCCTCTTGCATGATTAAGGGTTATAATTCAAATTGATTCATCAAAAAAAGAGTACCAAAGGGGTCTGTTCACATCCAGAGTAGTCATGGTACAAACTTTCGCCAGCTCTAATAGTGTGTTGAAAGCAGCATACTGTGAAGAATTCGGAGGACAGGATCAACAATCAAATTAACAAATTGTTCATATACCATACTAATGTGCATTCCTAACATATAGCCACTATGACGCTTCAATTTAGAGCATTTTACTATCGCGAAGCGCAAGCGAGCGGGTCCTTGCTAGTATATATATATATAGAGGTTTCACGGATTACTGTAGAGTCTCATTTTCCCTTATAAGTGTATTCAAAATCTACATTTTAAAATTTAAAAGCATACGATTTTACGTTTCTAAATCACCAAAACGCTTTTAAGTAGAATCACACTTTTAACTGAATTGATTTTAACTAACGGCCAATACTAACTTTAATCCTATCTATTACATGCTAACTCGTAATTAGTATATACAGTAAAAATGGAACTGTTGGACGTTGATGAAGTGCTTCTTTTTGTTTAGTAAACTTCTCATTTACGTTTCCGTTTTGCTATGCTCTTTCTTCTTCGTCCTTCCTTTCTTCAGTTAACAAGTAGAGCTCTAATGTTCATTTCTGCTGAGCAATCTTGAGCACCAGAGCACTCTTGATCATCCTTGTTCTTTGTTATCCTCCCACAAGCTAACAACTATATTATTATATATTCATAGGTTGGACAACAACGATGCAAAACGATACACTGACAAACTTTTGGTGAATATGCTTGCAAATTGCACATATTTTGAAACAGTATATAAAGTGATCAAACTGGTTTAAACCATGGTCCATGAAACCGTACCAGAGATCTTACCGGGAAGGTCATCGGTAGGGTATTTTATGGTAAAATCGTGGTTTAACCGTAGTTCAATTGTAATATCGTTAAATACCACCTACCGATTTAGCCTCTAATACTGGTATTTTGTGGTTGAACCACCGGTATGGTACGGTTTCATGGACCATGGTTTAAACTCGCACTCTTATCACATGACAAGGTTATTGGTCCTTTCATGAAACACATGATTTTCAACAATGTGGATTGTTGGCTGATTGTCACAAAACACTTTGACTGTTTGAGAATGCTGATCTCCAAAGTCTTTAAGTAATCTTATCATCAATTCAATTTCACTACTCAAGCTAGCCAAGGCTCTATACTCTGGTTCTGAGGATGACCTTGACATTGCCTTTTGTTCTTGCTCTTCTAGGTGACAATTTCTATGCCAAGGAAAATACAATATCCAGTTATAGATTTTCTACTATCTGGACAAGTGGGCCGGTTTGAGTCACTGTACCCTTTTTTTTATCTCTAATGTAGTGTCCTTAAGATA